CCCCAAAACCCCAAAACCCCAAAACCCCAAAACCCCAAAACCCCTAGTTCGTACAAATAAATTGAGATTAATCGATTTTTAGCTTTTTCTTCTTGTTTTCTCCAACATCAGGGATGGCTCCACTTAGGAACATAAGATTAGCGGAAGCATTGGAGACATTATTTTCTTTGATGCCAGAGTTGGACACGTTGAAGCCGATTTTCTCCCTGCTACTGCTATTTCCGGCCTTGCCTTCCTTTTCTTCTTCAATACTGCTCCTTCTGTATCTTTTCATTGTGAAGAGAATTAGTTCCATTAAGTTTTTAGAAGGAATCTCAATAAGGAATGAGAAAGGAATTGCAACAAGAAAGGAAGTTACTATCACAGCAACTCCTGTGAAGAGCAAGTCTGGAATATTTATAAACAAGGTCTGGCTCAGCGAGCTATAGTACCAGACTATAATGAAGAAATGCATCAGGTATGCAGAATAGGATAGCTCAGTCATGGGTCCCCATGAATAGTTTCCAACAATAATAGTAATCCACTTTAGCTTGTTCAACAAACAGAATAGGATTATTATGACTAATCCTGTGAAATAGATCGGTCTGCCTAGCGTCAGGTACAGAATGTACATTGTCTTTGCACTACCACTCATGTCATTAGTCAGAGTCTCCCTGGCAATTATTAGCCATTGGAAAATACTGGGGATAATTATCAGTGCGAATGCGAAGATTATTAGAATTGTTCTCTTATTGATATTCATATTTTCTAGAATACTAACCAATCTCCAACCAAACCTCTTCTCCTTCTCGGACTTAGATTCCTTATTAAATTCATAAAAGATGAAACCAACAAATAGGCCGAGAGAATATCCGAATATCCTGGTCCATGGCTTAGTAAAGAGGATTTCATATGTGTTCGAATCGTACTGAGATAGCGTAGTGATGGCTCCAACTCCAGCGATTACAGACACACTCAGGAGTGAGAATAAGCAAATAACCCAGCTTATCAGACAAGCTAGGAAGGATTTCTTCGTATAAAGTATCGTCAAAAACAGGCAGAAGAAAAAGAACTGGAACTCGGTACTCACAAACCAGAGCCAGGGTAAGCATGCATTATTTCCAATATTATTTCCAAATGGGACCAGATTGCTGATCATAAGCACATGGGTCCAGAGGTATCTATCACAAGATGATATTATTTCTTCAGTCATTGTACCCCATAGAGGTCCTGACGAGAACAACTTAAAGATAGAAGAGATTCCTATGATTATTATCACAGGGAATAACATCTTAATGATAAAATGCAGTGCATAGAGGATGTACGACCGTGATTTTGTATCCCTGTCATCAAACTTCTCAAGCAAATCATATGCTGAAAGGAACGCAATAATAAATAACAACGAGTCAAAAGACAGCTCATTGTTTAGAAGGGTAATAAACAGGTAATTTGAAGAAATATCTCCTATTTTAGTGAAATTCGCTGGGTATGAATAAAAGGAGAACAAGAATGTATTCCCGATGATCACCCAAATAAGGAACATTACTCTCAGACCTTCAATCATGGTAGTTTTTACATGCATCCTCCTGATGACAGAGAATTTGAATAACCTCCTTGCATTTCTTTTGAACGAGAACGAGAGAAGGATAATACCCCAGAGGTTCTTAGACATTATCAACCTTTTCTCTTGTTGTAAAAAGTCCTGAAATTCAGTACACATATTGTCCTTTTGGTCTTCATCTGCAGAAAGTCCTTCTTGGTCATAGTATTTATCCCAGATATTATTCTCTTCCTCTTCTTGGTTCAGATTAGGCTTGTTACCAAGACTTGTGTTTTCTACTAACAATCCAAGAAGGCCGAGTAGGACTAGGAACACAAAGACTACTATCATTACGCTTGAAGTCGACGACAGGTTTTTGGAGGTCTGCTGAGCCTCCTTTTCCACATCAAAGAAAGTTATATCAACAACGTTACTATCTCTTGTAAAATTAATGTCTTGAAGGAAGAAGGAGTCTCTAAGTATCTTACTGTCAGTATCAGAGCACTCTTTAGGTACACATAGGCCTTGGACAAATCTAGCTGTGTCCTTATTAAGAAATGACATATCTTTCTTGCCTGTAATGTTTAACTCAATCTGGGAAAGCATGAAACGGGAGAATTCATGCTCAGTACAGTTCTCAAACTCTCCCAAGTCATTAAGAAATCTTCCAGAGTACATATTTTGACGCATAATTTCTTTTGTATAATTCCCGAGAAGGATTAAGTAGCCTTCCATTCAACTTGAATTTGCATTGCAGTAATTGAAGGTTAGGAACAGAAATAGGATTAGTCAGATGAACTTGGCAGGCATTACCATCTCCAAATTTATAATATTTGATTATATTTTTGTGAGGGGTTTTGGGGTTTTGGGGTTTTGGGGTTTTGGGG